TAGAATATTTAAAACAGTCTATTTTAAACGTTATTTATATCCCCATGGATACGTATCCGTTGTTAAAGTATTTATTATTCTCTTGTCATCATATGGGCTAAGTGCGACCTTTCTTTGTTTGACTGTATAGACGTTATGTTTTTTAGAAATAATTAAATTTTGATTGGCCTCTATGATTTGATTATAGAATAAACATTTATAATAATCATCAAAAGTGATTCCTCTAATTGTTGCCTTTGTTATTCCTTTAATTTTCTTCGTAATATCTGTATTATTATTTTCTTTGTTAAAAAGTCTGATTGCATACATTTTCGATCTGAGTCCAATGAATTCAGAAAAGATTTTACCATTGTTTTCATCTTTCATTAAACCCATTACTTTTTTATTCGTTAAAGGTATATTGTATTCATTATCTTGTGAAAAGTCTGATGTATCAAATTTATGTAAATCACATTTTATGTGATGGTATATATCATCGACAAAGAATTGATATATGAGTGAATCTGTATCAGTATAGAGAAGTTTAGCAGAATTAGAAAATTTATTTTGAATGTAATTATAATGAAAGTCATACAGTACAGTTTTCGAAATGTCAAGAATACAAAATCCTACGTAAATTGGTTTATTAAATTTAATATTTAATCGTTCCATCTCTATTATAATCATATTTTCGTTAAATATAATACAACTATGGAAATTTGGTTTGGAAATGTAAAAATTAGCACCATATCTTCCTGACCATTTCGTTACTAATTTAACGTCTTTATATTTTCGTACGTTTTCCATTGTTTTACCAAATACTGAATTATTCATGAGTTTGTAAAAGTTTTTTCGAATTCATTTTTACTAGCTTTCCGTAAATTGGTATTTAAATAAACAATTTTTTTAACTACGGAGACTGTTTAAACTTCAGTACTCTATGAATGTTTTCAAGTTTAATACCTAAGCTTAATCCTTGTCTTAAATTTTTATAGTGAACGATATATTTTTTCTTATCAAAAGTGTTGTTAACAGTTTAGGTGTCTTTGTAGGTTTTAGTTCAGTTTAAGTGTAGGTGGGACTAAATGTTCAGGAAGTAACGATAAATCTTTGTGTGTTTTGTGTAATGCATCTGAATAATGTATATCGACCTCAAATATGTAACCGTATTCATTATTATTATTAATGTCATCAATATTAATTGAGTAAATGTCATATACCCATTCAAACTTTCCTTTAGGCAGTGGAAAACTCATTGCATAACCATACAAATTGTTTTCGTCGTAATACATTAAATATGATGTAGGTTCGTTAGAATTAAATTCATCTACCATATACTTGTTTGCTTTTCCGTAGCGATTACAACATTGCGATATTCCCCCTCTTATACCTCGTTCTATAAAAATTATCATATCTATATCGGTTAATAGTTCTAATTCAATTTCTGTTATTTTTAACATACTATCAAAAGCAAGACTTGGCGCAGTACAATAATGTAAACTATCTAATTTATATGTTGTCCAACATGTTGATCTAAAATTTTCAAATATATCAGCAAGCAATAGCACATCTGTTTTTAGATAGAATTCTGCATACTCCTGCAAATTATTAATTTTAAATGTCTTCCACACATTACATGCATGATTGTATTCCGTTTGAGAAATGTCACAATCATAAATTGAACTGTAAAAACTTCCTCGAGGTGGTAATTCGATATCTTGTAATTTTTCCCAACAGTCTAGATATTCATACGGAAAAACTCCCTTACGCTGAACTAATTCAAATTCTTCATCATTTTAGTAATACTTCCTTGTGATAATTTTTTGTTTCTTTTCTATCAATTTTGTGAATGAAATATACTTCTCTTTATTGACCGGCAATATAGACATATTACCTTTTATTTCTACGCTTAAAGCTTTAATTATGAAATGACTGTCATATCCGGATAAATTGTGAAAAATTACAGGTATTTGTATGATCATTCTTATTATTCAAGTTACAAATTGAATGCGCTGGACCTCTATAATTTGCTGTTAAATGACAGTGATCCTTTACTTTAACATTTTCACTACTAAATGGTTTACAACAAATATGACAATATCTAACAGTAAGATGTTGATTTTCTTGTTCATATGATAATTATTTAATTGGAATAATGTTTGAAAAGATATTTTTAAATTCGAAAGCTAAAGTTTCAAATTCCTTAACGAACCATGTAATACAATCCTTCCCTGTGTATAACTTAAATTTAGAAAGAGAATCATCATAATAACACTTTAGATAATATGCAATACTGAAAGGCTCATGTTTCTGATACTTTTGCATTTTACTTGTACATTTTAAGTCATTGTGTTTAACTAGTATACTTTAAACAAATTTTTAAATTTTAAATACTTTTCGTTATCTTTTGGTAAAGTGATTTTTGTCTTGTTTAGATTTTCACAATCAATTAAATGTGATTCTAAAGTTTGCTTTGATGTAAAGTTGTTTGTGTAGCAGTCGTGAAAGGTAATTAATTAATGCAAAATGAAATGTTCTATTTAATTCAACATTTGTTTCATTAAACTCAGTATAGGAATGTGAAAAATTATTTTTATCATCAATATCGCAATTTAAATTATCACACGGAATCATTAATAAGTTAATATGAGGTGTAAAATCGGTTTTACTCAAACAAATGGGTACAATACTACTTTTATCAAGTGTGAAAACATTAATGGATAAATTGTTAATTTTTTCAAATTTATTTATATCCTTCAATTGAATTGGAAAATTAATTCCTTCATACTTAAGGATTCTACTAATGTGTGGATATGATGTTGTTCTATTTGGATTTTTATTGAATGGTGAAGGACGTAGTGCAGCTACAACTGACCATAGAAAACAAAATTTATCGTTATTTTGAATATTGATAACTGATTTTGAATTTTTAATAAATGAAGGCATTTCTACATATGTTGAAATACCTACGTTAATTGGAGCATAATTATTAATATTTATTTTAAGTTGAATTATTTCGTAAAGGGCCCATCCTGACTACCGTTCCTGAAATTCCCCTAGTTTAGTTAATATTTTGTTTTTAATGTTTTCATTGTACCAATCTTTTAAATTTGAATTGTGATCTATAACACGATTTCTAGTTCTAAAGTGTTTAATTTCAGTCTCACCATTTTCAGATATTATAAAATTGCCGTAAAAGATTGCATTTACCTTTAAAGTAGACTGTTTTAAATAATTTTTAATTTTTAAAGCGAAACTTTTGTAGGCTGCATTTAAAAATTTAATCGGTTCCTTAATTTTATAATTTACAATGCTACCAGTTCTAATTCTTCCTCTAAAACATGAATCTAGGTCTACCCATTGTATATTTCTATTTTTAGTTTTTTTTGATTTATTCACATTTGAATCAAGTTCATATTTAAATTTATTCTTATAAAACTTTAACATTGCCAAATTTGTTTCTAACTGAAGCTTATTTCTAATATTATCTTTCTGTTTTATAAGTTTTTTTACTAACCGAATATTTTTATTTAAAAGTTTAATGAATTTCGTATATTCATCCTTAGTTTTAATTAATGTACCAACTTTTTCTATTTTCTTAATAAAATTCTTAAGTATAATATNTGGATATGATGTTGTTCTATTTGGATTTTTATTGAACGGTGAAGGATGTAGTGCAGCTACAACTGACCATAGAAAACAAAATTTATCGTTATTTTGAATATTGATAACTGATTTTGAATTTTTAATAAATGAAGGCATTTCTACATATGTTGAAATACCTACGTTAATTGGAGCATAATTATTAATATTTATTTTAAGTTGTATTATTTCGTAAAGGGCCCATCCTGACTCCCGTTCTTGAAATCCTTCTAGTTTTGTTAATATTTTGTTTTTAATGTTTTCATTGTACCAATCTTTTAAATTTGAATTGTGATCTATAACGCTATTTCTAGTTGTAAAGTGTTTAATTTCAGTCTCACCATTTTGAGGTTTTATAAAATTGCCATAAAAGATTGCATTTACCTTTAAAATAGACTGTCTTAAAGAATTTTTAACTTTTAAAGCGAAACTTTTGTAGGCTGCATCTAAAAATTTAATCGGTTCCTTAATTTTATAATTTACAATGCTACCAGTTCTAATTCTTCCTCTAAAACATGAATCTAGGTCTACCCATTGTATATTTCTATTTTTAGTTTTTTTTGATTTATTCACATTTGAATCAAGTTCATATTTAAATTTATTCTTATAAAACTTTAACATTGCCAAATTTGTTTCTAACTGAAGCTTATTTCTAATATTATCTTTCTGTTTTATAAGTTTTTTTACTAACCGAATATTTTTATTTAAAAGTTTAATGAATTTCGTATATTCATCCTTAGTTTTAATTAATGTACCAACTTTTTCTATTTTCTTAATAAAATTCTTAAGTATAATATTAGCTTCCATTACGAATTATAAAAAGTATCTATTATTTTATTCCTGAAGATCCAAATCCACAATTTGACCTATATGTATTATCTAATGATGAACATTCAACAATTGTTGGATATGATATTTTTTCACAAATTAACTGAGCTATTCTATCACCTATCTCTATTACAAATTCTTTATTAGAATAATTAAATAATAGTACCTTAATTACACCTCTGCAGTCTTCGTCAATAACACCTGCTCCTACGTTCATAGAATGATTAACGGCTAGTCCAGATTGTGGAGCAATACGACCGTAATGACCAATCGGTAGTTGAATTTTAATTCCAGTATCAACGAGAGTTTGACCACGAGCAGGAACTTTGTAACTATACGCACTTCTCAAATCGATACCTGCAGCGAAAGGTGTTGGTCTGGTGAGAGATTGACTATTGTCTGTTAATTTAACATATTTTAAAATAGGAGAGTCCATGATGCTTTAATATATACAAAAACTATAAGCATGCAATAAAAGTAAAAATTAAAACAAAAATCACCACTTACCTACAGTAAAAAGGGGTGGTCGTGGTGGTGGTGGTGGCCAAAGAATGACCTTGAAAGACATCGAGGAGAAGAAGGGGTTGTGTGTCGTCTACTTCTTCAGCAATGACCTTCAAATCGAGTTGAGAGTGAGGGGGCATAGATATTCAGACGAGATAATATCCTAGAAGATATAACCAGTTTCGAAAATATAGATTTGATGGATATCCGTTTGTTTTTGAATTCCGAATGTTATCCGTATGAATCGCTGAAGATGGACTTTACGAAACAGCGCTATGCAGAAGCATATCAGATGTATGTCGATTTTCAAAAGAACTACTTAAACAAAGTATATCCGGAACCGTTAATTTCATACAAAGATTTTGAAAAAACCCATTTTTGTCCTTAACACTACAAAACAAAATGAGTCTATATAATCTTCAACAGTCGATGTTAAATTGGAATTTCAAAGTAGACAACAAATTAAGTTAAATTTCTGATCAGTATCCAGTTGAGAGTGAGAGGGCATAGACATTCAGTATTTTTATCTTTGTTCTATTAAACATAAACCAGAAGAAGAAAAATGAATAGAATTATTGTAGATACTCAAGGATTTCATATTCCCGAACTAAAAGGGTTTGTGCCGAAAGAATTGAGCATATTCGATGGAAATCGTACTGCTCATTTTGTTTTCCGTCCACCGTGTACACTTACATCGTTATCAGAAGCCACGAAAAGAATGGTTCGTTGGATTGAAAAAAATCATCTCGGTATCAATTTCTACCATGGATATAAGAGTCTGTCCCAGCTACGACCTATTTTAGAAAGATATTTTTCTAATGCCGATGAAATATTTTTTAAAAGTTCATCAAAAATATCAACTCGTAAATTCCTATTTACCTCAAGCTAATGTTACTTATAGATTTAGGTTACAGTAATATTGCACCAGAGTTTAATAAAAAACCAGCCCATTGTATGTATCATACTAATAAAGACAATGTTTCTTGTTCTACGTTTAACTGTATTTTTATATATGAATATACATGTAAATAGATTGTAATTGCAATAAAATTAATAAAATACTGAACCATAAAATAGAATTTTTGTTTGTTCTATAACATTTATACGTAAATTGCATTGGTATTTGTTTTTACATGTGTACGATTGATTTCCGCTGCCACATGTGCCGTGTAATAAGAGGCTTAAAAAATGTCAATACTATAAACAAACAAGCAACAACTTGTTGGTACAGATGTAATGCAATTATCAATAATAATAATAATATGTTGTGCGATGGTCAAGGTCAGTAAAAACATCTGTTTATAAAGAAATAACGTTTCGAAATATTATTCACGACAAAATAATTTCNAGTCGAAAACAAGCGTTAAAGCCTTTAATATGTCTTCAAATATAAATAAACATCTCGTTGATATTTTCAGTAGTAATTGGTACCAATAACAGCACATTTGAGCTATGCAATTGTGGTGGATAAAATGGTCAACTTTTCCGTGCAGTACTGTACAGATTATACACTCCTCACCGGTTAAGAGTTGTCTCCTTTCTTTTCTGACCTAGTGCTGTTCTCTTCCACTTTGCGCCGGTCAAACTGAAGGTCACATCGCTACAGAAACTAAACGAAGTATAAGTGGTGATTTATGTTTTAATTTTTACTTTTATTGCATGCTTATAGTTTTTGTATATATTAAAGCATTATGGACTCTCCTATTTTAAAATATGTTAAATTAACAGACAATAGTCAATCACTCACCAGACCAACACTTTTCGCTGCAGGTATCGATTTGAGACGTGCCTATAGTTACAAAGTTCCTGCTCGTGGTCAAACTCTCGTTGATACTGGAATTAAAATTCAACTACCGATTGGTCATTACGGTCGTATTGCTCCACGATCTGGACTAGCAGTCAATCATTCTATAGACGTAGGAGCAGGTGTTATTGACGAAGACTACAGAGGTGTAATTAAGGTACTATTATTTAATTATTCTAATAAAGAATTTGTAATAGAGATAGGTGATAGAATAGCTCAGTTAATTTGTGAAAAAATATCATATCCAACAATTGTTGAATGTTCATCATTAGATAATACATATAGGTCAAATTGTGGATTTGGATCTTCAGGAATAAAATAATAGATACTTTTTATAATTCGTAATGGAAGCTAATATTATACTTAAGAATTTTATTAAGAAAATAGAAAAAGTTGGTACATTAATTAAAACTAAGGATGAATATACGAAATTCATTAAACTTTTAAATAAAAATATTCGGTTAGTAAAAAAACTTATAAAACAGAAAGATAATATTAGAAATAAGCTTCAGTTAGAAACAAATTTGGCAATGTTAAAGTTTTATAAGAATAAATTTAAATATGAACTTGATTCAAATGTGAATAAATCAAAAAAAACTAAAAATAGAAATATACAATGGGTAGACCTAGATTCATGTTTTAGAGGAAGAATTAGAACTGGTAGCATTGTAAATTATAAAATTAAGGAACCGATTAAATTTTTAGATGCAGCCTACAAAAGTTTCGCTTTAAAAGTTAAAAATTCTTTAAGACAGTCTATTTTAAAGGTAAATGCAATCTTTTATGGCAATTTTATAAAACCTCAAAATGGTGAGACTGAAATTAAACACTTTACAACTAGAAATAGCGTTATAGATCACAATTCAAATTTAAAAGATTGGTACAATGAAAACATTAAAAACAAAATATTAACAAAACTAGAAGGATTTCAAGAACGGGAGTCAGGATGGGCCCTTTACGAAATAATACAACTTAAAATAAATATTAATAATTATGCTCCAATTAACGTAGGTATTTCAACATATGTAGAAATGCCTTCATTTATTAAAAATTCAAAATCAGTTATCAATATTCAAAATAACGATAAATTTTGTTTTCTATGGTCAGTTGNATAGTACGTTGGATACAATTAATAAGATGGCAATGTGTGACCAATTTAAACCGATTTTACATATAAAAGACATGGTAAAGGACCAGCCTCTTCCAGTAATCAACATCTACCGTAGCAAAACAAGACACGGTAAATGTGTAGTGGTGGAAACCGAAAACAATACAATCTACTTGCCGAAACGAATGTACGAGTGCCTCACAGAAGAACGCATAGAATATATGAAACATTCCCAGCTAACTATTACATACAAGGGAAGTAAAGACGTCGGCAAAGGTAACGAAGCGGGGCTTTTTTCCTTTGAAAAGGCTTAATAATTTTTTGTTGTATAGACATAGGAGAACAGGTGTAATTATTATTTAATTATTCTAATAAAGAATTTGTAATAGAGATAGGTGATAAAATAGCTCAGTTAATCTGTGAAAAAATAACTTAATGTATTTTTATATATGAATATACATGTAAATAGATTGTAATTGCAATAAAATTAATAAAATACTGAACCATAAAATAGACTTTTTTGTTCTATAACATTTATACATAAATTGCATTGGTATTTGTTTTTTTTTGCATGTCTACGATCGATATCCGCCGCACGTGACATGTAATAACAGAGGCTTAAAAAATGCTAATACTATAAACAAACACGCGGATTACATCTCCCGTATAAACAAGCAACAACTTGTTCGTACAGAAGTAATGCAAATATCAATAATAATAATAAAAGATGACCTCTTCACCTCTTACTATAAAAAAAAATTCTGCTACAAATATGTAATAAATTTAACACACTTCAAGTTTAAAATTAAACCGTTTTACTCTACAAGTGAAACTGTCTTGGATGCGTACTGGCAAAATCGTAGGTAGGGTAAAAAACCTAATACTTATACTCTCAACTGTTGTTCATTAAACACACTTTTTCATACAGTACCTGCCAAATGTTATGTTCAATCATAGATAGTAGTGCTAGTCGAAAACAAGCGTTAAAGCCTTTAATATGTCTTCAAATATAAATAAACATCTCGTTGATATTTTCAGTAGTAATTGGTACCAATAACACCANAAAAATTATTTAAAACAGTCTATTTTAAAGGTAAATGCAATCTTTTACGGCAATTTTATAAAATCCCAAAATGGTGAGACTGAAATTAAACACTTTAGAACTAGAAATCGTGTTACAGATCACAATTCAAATTTAAAAGATTGGTACAATGAAAACATTAAAAACAAAATATTAACAAAACTAGAGGAATTTCAGGAACGGTAGTCAGGATGGGCCCTTTACGAATTAAACACTTTACAACTAGAAATAGCGTTATAGATCACAATTCAAATTTAAAAGATTGGTACAATGAAAACATTAAAAACAAAATATTAACAAAACTAGAAGGATTTCAAGAACGGGAGTCAGGATGGGCCCTTTACGAAATAATACAACTTAAAATAAATATTAATAATTATGCTCCAATTAACGTAGGTATTTCAACATATGTAGAAATGCCTTCATTTATTAAAAATTCAAAATCAGTTATCAATATTCAAAATAACGATAAATTTTGTTTTCTATGGTCAGTTGTAGCTGCACTACATCCTTCACCGTTCAATAAAAATCCAAATAGAACAACATCATATCCACACTTTAGTAGAATCCTTAAGTATGAAGGAATTAATTTTCCAATTCAATTGAAGGATATAAATAAATTTGAAAAAATTAACAATTTATCCATTAATGTTTTCACACTTGATAAAAGTAGTATTGTACCCATTTGTTTGAGTAAAACCGATTTTACACCTCATATTAACTTATTAATGATTCCGTGTGATAATTTAAATTGCGATATTGATGATAAAAATAATTTTTCAGATTCCTCTACTGAGTTTAATGAAACAAATGTTGAATTAAACAGAACATTTCATTTTGCATTAATTAATGACCTTTCGCGACTGTTACACAAACAAATGAAAAACAATAAAATTAGAAAATGGATATGTAACCGTTGTCTCAACAACTTTACATCAAAGCAGACTTTAGAAACGCATTTAATTGATTGTAAAAATTTAAACAGGACAAAAATCACTTTGCCAAAAGATAACGAAAAGTTTTTAAAATTTAAAAATTTTAAAAATAAGGAATTTGTACCGTTTGTAATTTATGCTGATTTGGAAAGTATACTAGTTAAACACAATGACTTAAAATGTACAAGTAAAATGCAAAA